TCCACCTCCGCCTCCGGGCCTCCGGAGCCACCACCTGCCGCCAGGAGGCCAGGGCGAGAGGGAACGCATCCTACAAAGCTAACAAGTGGGTTTCCATCTTTTAGAACCGAGGAGGTTGTGCCCCCCATGGAGGCCCCGCTGGATTATCCGAAGGAGACCGAGTCGCTCCCTTCTTGGCGAACTCCATTCTCGGATGAGTCTGCCACTCTGTGTGTCTCGGGTCGGGGAGGAAAGGGTCGGGGGGAAATAGGATTAAAAACAAAAACCATCCCTAGATACTGGCGCGAAGTTCCGATGGAAGGCGTCTAGGTAGGGAGTGGTGGGGGGGATTGTCATTAGGACAAATCTTTTTGAATGTCCGTGTATTTTGTGTAAAACAGAAATAAGGAATGGGGCCAGGCGTAATGAGTGTGTGAGAAGCCGCTGGCGAAGTCATCCTACTGGTTTTGAAGGCACTTGGCATAAATTATATTTTCACCTCGCACCGCGGAGCGGTGTAAGCCGCTCTCCAAAGCCCTTTGGGATGTGTGCCACCCTCCAGACGTGTCCTCCTCGCTGGTGGTTAACACGAGGGGTTTGATGGGCTCATTCTGCGTGAGCCCCTGCTTCCCGCTGCCTCCCAGGCTGGCTGGACGGGCAAGACCCTCCCCTGACATTGCATCTGCTAAGAGGATGGACCAACCCATGTCTACTATTGGGACCATCAGGTGGACGTTCGGAGGAAATGAGAGCACGGGCTGCTTGGAAATCAGTCCCAAAGGCAGAAGATGGTGAACGAGACGGAAGCTGAGCCCCGCCGCCCGCGCAGTGGACCCTAAAAAGCTGATGTCACCGGAACATGATGGGTCGCAGGCCCAGGAGAGGACTGACCAGCAGGCGCGGGGAAGGGAGCCACCTAGTGAGCGGTTGCTCTCCTCTCCGGTTCTTCCACCCGGAGAGCCCAGAGATGGAGATTAGGACTACCTATTGCCCCAAACACCCTGCGCTTCTCTCCTGAAATGTATTGGCTAGAATTTAAAATGATTTTAGCCAGAATAAAACTTTTGTGATGTAAAATAATCATCCCTTTGGTAATAATCATCATCATGATACCTTCTTTGTGGCCCCTATCTCCAGGAAACGGCACATGAGCATGTATTGTGACACTCCTGATAAGCAACCTAGGAAAATATTACTCTCTCCTGATTTTGGAAATAAGGAGACTAAGATTAAAAAAAAAAAGATGATTCCTTGTCCTAGCCGGTTTGGCTCAGTGGATAGAGAGTCGGCCTGGTTCGATTCCGGTCAATGGCATATGTCCGGGTTGCAGGCTCAGTCCCCA